GTGGGGCTGTTTGTAGGGGAGACTGTGAGATCCACTTTTCTGTTCGACACTGAAAAACCTTTTCCCTTTCCACTTTAGACACAGCCCGGTGCAGTCCCCCTCCTCCCTCTCTTTGCCATTACTGGAGCTTCCTCTCTTGTAATAAGCTTTGCAGCCTGCGACCTGTGCAGGTACATAACACCCCATGCAATCGGACTCCCTCCTCCTCTGCAATTATCTATTTCAGTAGAAAGAGGCAATCCAACTGCCTTCTTTATTTATTTAGGAAATTTCTTTCTTTTACTTTCTCCCCTGCCTAGCTTGCTTACCCTGCTGTTTCCCTTACAAGACAACAAGCTGATTTCTACGGCCAAAGCATGCAGGGCAACCCATGCTACACTGGATAGACATCATGCTGCTGGGCCCACGTTGCTCAGACCGGTTAGCAAAACTCTCTCCAGGAGTGCCACAATAAAAGCAGTCCTCAACAACCCTTGCACTTGAGCTGGGAGTTTCAAGGAAAACCATAGAATATTGAAAATAATCATAAAAAGACGACAAATTGATGCAATTGTTATTGAATAAAGTAAAGAAAATATGGACCAGGTACATACATTGGCACTACAGTCACTATGAGAGAAGGGAATCAGAAGAAGTAGCCAAGAGCCAGTGGAAACACAAGTGGACCTTGGCAAGCTCCATTGCTAAGTTGTAACCAGTGGCTTAAGACACAATCAAGCACAATGTGAGACCCCTACAAACCATGGGGACAGGCTCCAAAAAACACGCCAGTAAGCAGAGTGGGGACAGGCTCCAAAAAACACGCCAGTCAGCAGAGCAACCAACGGGACTTGGTACGAGTACAAATGAAAACGGCACTGAAAGGTCAGGGCGTAACAGGCTACGCAGGGGAAGCAGCAAATGTGACCGCAAGTGAAAACAGCACCAACAGCACAGACTAAAAAGAGAAAAACTTAAGCAACAGCTCTTAAGCAGCTCATAAAAAGAAGAGACCACCTTCAAGTCTGTATAACATTGGAGAACTGAGGCTCAGTAGCAACTCTGATTACAGTAGCAGTGCCCCAGCTGGAATTAAACAAGGGGATTTGCGCACGTTGCTCCAAACTTAACGGAAGCGATGAAGCAGATCTTTCTTGTTCTTTTCAAAGGTCAACACCAGCTCCACAACATTTGTCTGACACTGAAACTCCCTTAAGGGCTGGACTAGGCTTTATTCCCAACTATTTGCCTACATTTAAGGTCTCTTTATTGGTATTCATTTCAATGGTTTATTTTGATTACCTCTTCAACTTAAAGAAATGAAAACTATTTGTGGCTTTGCAGATCCAAGCATGAAAGACCTCTCATTCATGAACAAAAACAAAAGCTACCCCTTCCTCCCCAACTTGTTCAATATATATACACCTTATAGTTGAGTAAGACTTCTCGTGTTGCAGTTATGTACAACCAAGAAGCAAACTGGCAGCAGGAAGAGCAGGAAACTAATCAGACTGGAATTCATCCTGAATGGCATGAAAAGACAGTCACGTCCCCACTGAGTGCCCCTTTTAAGTCTCCAGCCTTGGCCTAAGAGCTACTATTTACAACTGATACTTGAAAAAACCTTTCCAGAAAAATATTGAACTTTTAAGTAGATTTCCAAAAGAATAATTAACACCAACAATGTGCATATGTAAAAAATGGCATTTTAACAGATTTTACAACACTACTCAAAGTACATGCATGATAGCTGAGAAACTAACGTAATAAAAACTCACAAGTATTATATTCCATTAGCCACATGAATGTTCTTAATTACTTTGATACCGCCACATCCCAAGCAATTACAGAAATCACATAACTAATGCTTTAAAATGGCAGCCAATTTCCTTTAAGTTCTTTTCATCCCAAAACAAGAAAAATGCACGAATAAAATCAGTGTATTATAGAATTGAAAAAAGGGAGAGAGAAAAAAAAATCTGAAGTCTAAAGTAATTATCCAGGAGATTGTTTATTTTTATCGATATATTCCCTATGAAAATCAAGTGAATTTAACAAGCATCTGGAAATACTAATTTTGTGATACCAGAAGCTGGCTTTCTGTCATGTACTAGGTCTTCTGCAGTAGGTATTTCAATATTAATTGAATTTTAACTGTAGTTTTGTTGCATTACTATGAAAGCTATCCTCAAGACTTCCAGTAATTTAACATTAAGGGTTATGACGGTTGCTTTTATGGGGTAGGGGGCATTTCAACTAAGTATTTTCCCTTGTGCTTTCAATCATTTTGTTATTCCCCCAACCTTTAGACCCACATAGTTAAAAGATTTCTGGCATTCTCTGAAAAAAGAAAAGTTTCAGAATTGTTTAAAGACAGTTTTTTAACACCTTCATGGTAGCTTTTACAAGCAGAATTTAGGATCAAGTCACTTGCTATGTGCTGCAATGGCATTAAACAAAAATGAAGAATTTAAAACATTGAAATAGGGGCAATTAAAAAAAAAACTTCACTTTTCCTGACCTATGCACTCCAACAAAATGCATTGAAATTCTTGAGAGCTCATGTCCCTTTGTATTGTTTATAAGAGGCAGTGCAATTGCTTTGAACCAACTTCAACATCCGAATTATTTAATCGCTGTGCGATACTTACATTGGCCCCATCAGGCTTTGGTATCAAATTGACTTTACAGACCACAAGCCTGCCTTTTCCTTTAGATAACGTATGTACAAAGAAGCATGAAAAGGAAGAAATGCTTCTCCTCCATTTCCAAACAATTAACTTCTCCTGCATTTTAATCATTGTTTTGGAGACAAGGATGTTTCCTTTATCTCCCCAGAGAAAACACAGGATAATGCTTTATAAGTACTCCATTTTTTTCAGAAATATAGTTGCTTACTTTTCTATCACCTCCTATTTCCCATTTATTGATTAGATTCCAGACCTCTGTGTGGAAAGAGCGTAAAGGCACAAACCGAAGAAAAATTCTCATCCTGAGAGTATTTAAAGCAAACAAAAACAGCAACAACAACACACGCACACAGAGCCTTGGATAACCTAAGTATTTCACCAATGTCAGGGAGTGATATTTGAAGTAGGCCATTAGAAGGAAAAAAGACAGAAAGATTTCACTAGGGAGTTCTAAACATATTTTGTCTTGTTTAATTTTCTTTCTTCATTGCGTTTGACAAAGAGTATCTTCTTCCTGCCTAAGTTGCAATGACTGGCAAAACTGCCAGCTTAATATTTCGAAGAGGTGAAGGAACAGAACTTTTCTTAACAAAAAGTGATAGTTTATAGTATTTGATATGCAGCTTTTGAGTTTAAACTTTCACGAAGAAGAGTTGCAGTTAGGCTGCACGATGTCACCACTAGAATGGCAAAAAAATGCAAATTCTTGGGAAGTTAGTGCTACAGAGAAAACAAGCCAGCTATGCTCTTCTTTGCTCAGGGAAACTGAATACCTCTATATTTTGGTTCTTCAGAGCAAGACAAAAAATAGGAGCAGGGGGGGAAGTGAAAGGAATAGACCCCCTCTGCAAACATGTCCTGGCAAATGCTCCAGAGAAGGGCTTGGTTCTGCCCTGCACCGCGACCCCTGCAGCAGCATGTGCTCGTCAGGGGGTTTTACAAGGAAGTTTCCTGAAAACAGTCTTCTGTTAATCCATTCTGTCCTCAGCCTTCCTCTTGCTCAGCATCCTACTTCTTACACACAGGAAATATCACCTTCGTAAACTTGAAGAGCTCATCCTACCTTGTCAGTCCTCAGAAAAGTAAAACTAAGGGTATACCATGTACCAATGTAAAGGTAATTGTTAAAAATTTACTGGATTTTCTGGAACTGAGTTCCAAAACTGCATAAAGAGGCTACTAGTAATTAAATTAGCTTCAAATGCTGGTTTCATATACAAGCTTTTTTTTTTTTTTTAATCTTCATGTTCTTAAATTGAAGAATCTTCAGCATCTTAAAATGATCACGGCTATAGTTTGTTTTACATGTTCAGAGTCTAACACTTGTACTTTAAATGAGAAAACCCTCTCAAATAGTTGGCAACACACTGCTAAAAGCGACAAGCTGGTCCTGACTGCCTGGAAGAGCTTTAAAAACTGGACAACCGAGACTGAGCTTTATAGCACAAGCATATTTATGTACTTTCCTTGTTGTTCTGCTTTAAAAGACTACGAAGGAAACGTACCTGTGTTCTGTGAGAACATTTACTGCTGATGGATGGTTGGCACAGTATGCAAGGTATAAGCTTTTCATTTGTGGCATCAAATTTAGAAAACAGCCTCCAACCCTCTGCTGAGCTTCAGGCAACCTAAAAATGAAATAACAAGGAAGATTAAGTTACAGCAATACCAAAGATACACAAAAACAAATAAAAGACGGAAAGAAGAATATGCTCTTAACGAGCAACTTCTCCCCAGTTTGATTCCCTCCCTCCCCCTACAATAATCAATGGACATATTGGTCGCTGGGAGACATACAACAGCCTTTTCTTCCATCTTTATAGTTTCAAGTTTTTAACTACCAGGTTATACCACCTGGTAGACAGAGTACACCAAGTACATCCTTTTTTTTTTTTCCCTCTTAAAAAAAAAAAAAAAAGGCAATTAGTGTGCTGCTTAAGAGTATGATTTGACATTTTCATCCACGCGCCCATTAGTTAACACCGTTGTCATACGTCTTCGTGCATGCCAGATCTTCCGAACAATATGTTGGCACTTCAGAGTCATGGTCACAAGACCACACAGAAAAGCAAGCGGATTCTCCCTCTCCATCTTCCAACAACACCGGTACATGATTCATTACAGGATTCACGAAAACATCCAAGTCACAAACTGAGCTCTGGTCACACAAAACCCAGGTAGTTTCACAGCAGTAGCGCCATGCCACTGCCACTTGTCTTCTCTTTTATGAACTGTAAAGCCACGTGGGTTTTTAAGCAGATTGAGCGCTACTTTACCACCCTCAACACAGAAATAGGTAAGATCCTTTTATACTTCATACTTTCTTCACTTTTCATGCTAGAATGCATGATGTTTGCTAAGCTCTGAAAAAAAAAAAATTCACTTTGGAGTTGTAAATTGATTTTACTCCAGTTTTTACTTTTACTTAAGTACTATTTTATGCCAAGCAATCTCAGTGACCTACACAAAAATAAAAGATTCAGCAAGTGAAAAAACATTTGGGAGACAAATCAATTTTGATTAGAGTCAGAAGGATATATGTGCATTTTTTAAATGTAAATGTAGGGAGAGGAAGAGAGCAAAAGAGAGAATTTGAGCATACACACTGTACTTTTCCATAGCTTCTAGCAGAAATGAACTTTGAGAAGTCATCTCAACTTGCAGTAAGAAAACATCTGGAGTATGAGTGTCTGAAGCTAGCTGAGCAAAAGCAGCTTCCACGAGGGACAGCCGGGGGAAAGCAAAAGCTCAAGTTCTGATTCTCTATGCGTATAAGCAAGTAAAAAACAAAAAAGCCAACAATTCTTCTAACCTTACTCCTAATATCTGCTTAACCCACATACTTTATATGCAGAAGCACAAGAGAAAACACTTTTTTCACCTTTTTTTTTTTTTAATATAGACTGATATTCAAGTTAAATACACACTGATAGAAGTGGGGAAAAACTATATAGTTGGACTAACCATGTTTTCTTTACATGCCACCGCATTACCATTCTCAGAACTATCCATGAAAGCATCCATACTGGATTACCTGTCCTTCATATGAAAGGATAAATAGAACTGACAAGCTGCAATATTGTAAGGGGGGAGAAAGGCATGAAATGAAGGCATTTTCTAAAAAAACAGCCCCCGATTAGAGGACTAAGCCTCATCAGTAGTAGGTTATATGGTCAATAACTGATTCTTCTTGCACTGCAAGTTAACCTGAAGATGCAACAGTTTTCAGCACTCACAGACCACAAACTTGCGTTTATTTTTGTTATCTATTTGTCAGTCCAGTATTTCACGTTGCTCTAAAAGCAGATATGCTCTTGGTAAGCACTCGAGGCATGTACACAAATGGTTTCATGTTAACAACAGTTCAAACAATTCTATTAGGAAAAATATTATTTTATTTTTTTAAAAAAAGTTTCATGTTACTGTTCTAAGCACATGAATGCAGTTCCTAAGCATCAGTGTTGAGCATTTTCACTCGGAGTCAAAGAGATGCTCTGGCGCTGAACTCTAATACAAATGGAAGAGCTGATATTGTGTTCTCGTCCCATTCTGCCTTTCAAGTTCCTTGCTGCATTGATCCATATCTTTGATGTATTAAAAAAAAATTAAATTTAAAATCAATAGAGTGGCCTCCGCTGCAAGCATTTAGGGAGAAATAGGGACGCTTCTCAGGACGCAGAGGAAATGCTATTCCTACAGCTTTCCCAGCAGTATTTCCTGCCTGGCAGCTAGTCCCCTTCAATACATCTAAGCATGAGCTAATACTACATTCTTCAAGTAATAGATACAGCAAAAATCTCAAAGCCTGAAGACATATGTAGGTCGTATAACTCAATATTATACGGTACGAGGCCTCCGTAAACTGTTGCCAAAAATAATTAAACTGTCTTTTCATACTGCAGTGCCTGGGCAGCAAGGACCTTGAATGATGGCTCTTCACATCAGCTGTTTCTCCTCAGACTGAAAGACTGATATTATTCTCTTTTGCACATGCATGATAACTATATACCACATATTCTTTGCTGAACTGAAATAATTAGCAGACTTTAGAGGGGGTAGCAGTATTCATCCCCTTTGACTTTTCTAATCCATGCATTAGTCCTAAGTATTCTACTGTTTTTTTTCCAAGATTAGTTAATAAAATCCCACCACCACCTCACTCTCTTTGAGGGAGCTTCAGCATCAACCCCAGCACATTCATTACGTCGGAGAGAGCTCAGTACAGAGGCTGCCTCGCACGTAGTTGGGTAGCAGACAAGATTCTGGACAAGTGAAGGTCTCAAAAAGTAACTAAGGGGCAGCTACGGCTACTGACTTTGAGGGATGCAGTTTGCAAAGGATCAAAAAATTAGATACCATCTCCGGAGGCATTGCAATTCACAAGGTTACTCCATAGCTTTCTGAGCTACGGCTTTCACAAAAGGAAGCTCTATTCCATTTATTTATCCATCCTTAAACTTTTTCAGGTTTTCTTCACAGTTTTCCCTTTCCCTGTGTATCTATCTGCCTTACCTGTCAGATACCAGTTACTCTGCATGTTTAGTTCAGGCAATCTGCACACACTGTGCACACATTCATTTAACACTGACAGCCTGACTTCTTTGGATAGTCATGCTAACCAAGTCAACAGAACATATTGGGTTGAATCAGCCTTAATTCACATCTGACACTATAAAAAAGAAAAAATAAAAAAACTGAAACACCAATTAGTTTGAGTTTACAGCTGAACAACTAACCCCTATCCAGGCGGGTGTCATGGGCCAACCTGCCGCCCGTACTGAGAAGCAGAGCCACAGACTGACCTCCCCACGCCAACAACTCTCCATTTGCCTGAGAAGCAAGAGATTCGTGTTCAAACTCCTGTTAAAAGTACATCCGAAAAAGCAGAACTTCCACAGCACAGCTCGCTTGGATCGGCTGAGAGACCAGCAGATCCATCAGCTATCCCCAGTCAGATGTGTTTCACATGCTCCCTTGGTTATACCTTCTCTCCAGCTACCTATCAAAGGCAGAAGCAACCCCAGAGGAAGGTGCCTGGTGGTTGCTCAGGGCCAGGCCGAGGGCAGGCGGAGAGGCCTGTGGTAACACCACAGCCGCGCGGCGCTACAGGCTGGCGGGGACAAGCTCAAGCAAGACAAGAGTTTTAATCCAAACCACCTCCTCCTCCTTCCCCAAAATCCAAAACATACAAGCTACTCCAAGTCTCCTAAAAACACCAAAAATAAACTCACCATGGCATAAATATGTTCTGAAATTGTTTTTTTTTTACAAATACAAGGGCTCAATAAGCCAACCTGGTGCAGGTAAAGGGAGAAGCACCACTTTGTGGGCTTCTTGTCACTGAAGCCCACAAAGATCTGTCACTGAGGCCCTGAAGATCTGTCAAGATGCAATTCAAATGACAGAAAGTGACCTGAGTGCAGTGTGGAAATCAAACAATATTCAAATTACTGATGTGCACAAAAACACAAGTACATCCAACCACGTAGGCTAGCAACACTACAACTGGCAGAACGTCAGCTGTTGGTCACTCTGATATGTGAAATCAGGGAAAAAAAACCCTGCGCCGGATGCTACAATATGAAGAGCCTGAATGATTGAAATATAAGCGATCTGCCAAAAATATACTACAAGGATAAATCTATTTCCAGCCTGGAAGCTACTGTGAGTTTATAAGAACAGGTTCACCAGCCAAAACAAGATGGCAAACTGACAGAAACCAAGGCAGCAGAGCAGGCTTTCTCCTACATGATGGGAATTAAGATGGATTTGATACAGGGTAGCAGAATGTGGGACACTGAAGGCAATATGCCACCCTGAAATTAAACTGAAAATACAACTTGGCACAACCAGCATATTTCCAAAAAGGAATTAATACAAAGCATTTGCAGTCTTCAGTAACCTGGGGGTATCACTTCCTCTACCCACCTACTAGCATCCATTATGTTCCCAGTGGATTACACAGCAACATTTCACTTACCAGGAGGAAATAAAGGATAATCCGAGAAGGACTCTACTACAGCGTAAATCAAGAAAGGAATTCTCAATGAGCCTTCTGAGTATAAAGGTATCATATGAATCTATGCATCAAGTTAAAACAGATCTTGCATTAACATTTGAACAGATTGAATAGATTCCCTTGTTTAAAGATATATGGTCTTATCTTGTTTTTAAGCAGAGCTTAATCAAAACAGTTTTAAAAGATGACAGCCTGGATAAATAAGCTGGAGAAAAGGAGATTTTCCTTATGATTCACAGAAAAATTATAAAGGTAACAAGAGAATGAGACAATAGAAAGTGAACTGACCAGAAAAGAAAGGAAACATTTAAGTAAGCGTAGTAGCCAATTCTCATTTATACACTTAACTAATCAAGTCCTAAATATAACTTGCCAGAAAAAGGAATAAACTTCCTTAGAAACAGTGTGGAAGAAAAGTCATTTCAGGAACAGCTCTAAACTCCCCATCCTTCCATCCCCTCGTGTTGTGAGTTGTGAGTTCCAGAGAATCTGGATGGTGGGGTGAAGAAGGACCCAAAGCCAGCAATATACCCAGATATATGCCTGCCATCCAGAGGGGATGCAGCTTATACTTAGTCGCCACAAAGATTCATCTTAAACCAGAGCACCCTGGGGGATAAGGAAGAGGTTGAGCGAAGAGGAAAAAAAAAAAACCTAAAAACCACAAAACCCCATGGAGCAGATCTAGAACACATGCTAGAGATGCTTTTGATAGAAGTAACTCAAACTCATGCTTCCAAAAAGAAAATGTGGCCTCCTTTACAACTTCTCCCCTGCTATGTAACTGCATCATAGCATTTTGTAAAGTGTTTCGAAGCTGCTCCAAGCTCTTACCATTTTATCTTAGGGCTAATCTGAGCAAGCAAGCAATGACTGCATTATCCAAACACATACTGCTTTACTGCTGTAACAACTATTCTTAAAATGAAGGAAAAAAACATTTTTTTTTTAAATCTCAAACATTAACATACACAACAAGCAAAACAACAGTAAAAATATCTGCTTGCTAGAATTCTCTGACATTGCGTATACATAGTACTTACTTGGTGCATTCTTCTAAAGACTGTACAAGCATTTGCTGGAAAGAACTTATTTCCTCCAGGTTTCCCATTAAGTATGAAGTATTTGTCGAGTTTAACCTGGAGCCAAGATAAATAAAAGGTTTACAGGTTGACTATTTGTGCTTTAATAAAACCTACCTTAAGAAAAAGCTTGCTTGTTCTTATATCAAGAATCAGGACCAGGCCTGTCCTGATGAATGAACAAAAACCAAAAGCAAGCCTGCCTCAAGGACCTTGCATTCCACAGATGAAAATGCACATTAATAGTGAAACTGAAGCTTGGACCATACAACCTCTCCCCAGTACATAAGATATCTTAAGTCTGTTATTTTAAAAAACAAAACAAACTCACATACTTTTCACTGGCTTGTAATGGTCGCAGGTAGTTTGAAAGTATTGTCTGTAGCTCCTTAGCATATTCATTTTCTGTTTCTAAAATATTTTGTAGCACCTAAAATAAATGACAGTTGCTAATCGGTATTTTTAGGAGAGATTTCAAAATGTTAAAATCATCACTAGCTGTAAAACATAGTAAAAATTTTCTTAGCACTTTGAAAAAATTTAAAACAAATATCAGCAACAAACCATAAGTATTGAATCAACAAAACCTGGGCAGAAATGTGACAGGACTGTCCTTTAGTTTTAAAGCAGAAAAAAGGAAGAAGTGTCAAGCAGGAGTTTCACTTTAAAAGAAACACTTTATGTAAAACCCGGGCGCTCTCCCGAGTGTTCTTCCAGGGCTCAGACTCATTACTCCCCCTACGCACTTCGAAGCAATCAAAGATCACCAGAGAATGCATAAGCACGTTACAAGGCGTAAATGAACATCGGGTGTGATGGTCTGTATTACAACATGTAACTCCTAATCTTGATAGCAAAGTGTTTACTTATTGAGACACTTTAACTCGCAGTGTCTGAATACCAAACAGATTTATAAATATCAAACAATCATCAGCAGCTTTACTTAGCAACATGACTAGCTTGACTGTGTTCTTTTTAAATGGGGATGTCTAAGTTTTGGCCAAAAGTGCAGAAGGATAAACTCCATTAGAAAGAGTTCCAACAGATTCTGGCCTAAAACCAGTAATTTAGAAAATACCACACACACATTTAGTTTTTGTTTGAATATAAATCAAGAAACTTGGAATACTCTACAATATGCACAACAGGCACTTTACTGAAGCACTCTCCAAGGAGCATGCTTCAGGACATCCTCAAACATATTCAGATCAAATTCTCCTAGGCTTTTAGTACAGGGCTTACTTGCTGCTCCAAAAAGTTGATGAATTCCCAAAAGAAGTGTGAGAATTAAATAGAATTCACTGAACACAGTTATACTTGAAAAATTATTGCAATTCACTGCTTATAAGTCACATCACAAACACTCCCTTTTTGCTATATGCTGTATTTGTCAAACTGACATTATATCTTTTTTCAGCATTTATAGTAAGGACTGCATTAAGTGTATTATTCACTGTTGCAGTCAATACTCTCTCCCTCTCTCTTTTTAAAGAAGATGAAAAAGCCATTCATTCCTAAATGCAAACCTGATGAAATAACTTTAAATAGTTCAGTATGTCAATGGAGAATTCACTGTTCCTTTCATTGGTGTCATTGATTCTGCTTATTCCTTGAATAGTTCTATTCATTTGGAGAAAGAGAGAGACCACTTTTGAGTTCATTCTTTTGTTGGAAATCTGAATCCTGAACCGAAGATTAAAATGTCTCCATTCTCTGCTAAGCACTGACAGAGGAACGTCACAGAGAAAGCTATTAATTAGGAAACTGCAACAGACAGTACAGCAGGGACACGCAAATTGTAAAAAGAAATCAGCTAAGAACTTTTACTACTTGGACTTGCAAAAAAAAAATCCCTTGATTGCAGAAATAGAATTCATGTTCTCACACATACATACAACAAAAGTCAACTGTTAAAATAGAAATGTAAAGTATTGAGCAGCCACCAGGTTCAGGTCTAAGTGAAAGACCAATCTCTCCTGACATTGTTTTCCACACAAAATCTCCCATCCTCAAGTTACTGCACAGCCATCAGCAGGGAAAAGGAGGTTGCGACCCAAGAACAAAAATTTGTGTTCTTGATGAAGTGCTGAACAGTATAAGAAGACATTCAAAGATAAAAAACAAATGTGCTGGAGATTTTGAAGAGCTGCACCATCGCATATTCTCGAAGAGTATTTTCCATTCTTTGATAGAGCAGCTGCCTGAAAAGTTTAAAATGAAACAATTTCATGCTTAACATTGCTCAGTTATTTTCCTGTGCTTCTTAGGATTTTTATTTTAAGGTTTTCTTCAGAATGTGGGTAAGAAAGAACTGCAGTAAATGATTTGAAAGAGGAAAAAGCCAGGAAAGTTTTAAAAAATACAAACAGGAACCTGGTAAATTACAAGAGAAACGAAAACAAATGCAGCACTAAATAAAACTATTACGAAACCCACGCAAACTCCTACATTCACTTATACTGCTATACATGACTGCAGAAGTTTCCAGTGTTATGCACCACTTCAGACATGCACATACTTTTAAACAGTTTTCTGAACACATTATTTTTCCCTCCTATACAAGCACAGTTTCCACTGCATACAACATCAGTTTACCTTGAATATCTTTCAAAAAGGACTAGTCCTGCTTAAGTCGCTTTAAAACGCCCGTTTGGTGAATCCTTGCATCCTGCCAGCAGGACTTACCACACAGAAGCCGTCAGACTAATATGCTTGGACGGCGCTTTGAAGAGGTAGGTGCTCTGGACTGTAACTCAGTATTTTGGCAGCAGAGCACCCTCACATTCCTCCTCTCCACATCTCCCCGCATGCTCTAATAATCACCTTTTTTCCCTTTGTCGCTTTCTGCGTGTTCTGGCTGCTGCAAGACCCCATGAGACCTCGAAGACCTCCTTTCCCAAACTCCACCACAACATTTGCACGAATAAAGAGCGGGTACCAAAAGAGCAGCATTGAAATAGCAGCTTTTACAATCCATAACACTAATGAATAGCACAGAAAACTGAGCTCATACAGCACAAGCTCTCTCGGTCACAAGGCACGGAAAAATCAAGCATGGTTAACAGTTCTGTCGCACAAAACTCCAGCAACCCCCAAGGCAAAAAACAACCACCACCCAAAAATGAATTTCAGTGACCTACACGAAAGGGATCGCTCTCCAAAACAGGGCTGGGGGGACACAGGGAAGAGATTTAACAGCTGCACTTGGACACGATCCTGCAGCACGTTCCCTTTCCATTCAAGCAGCGCAGCATCAGGCTAAAACCCTCCATGCTTAAGCAGGTAACAACCAATGTCAAACTCTCCTGGATCACGAGGACCAGAGGGACCATGTGCTTTATGACAGGCTCTCAAAAGGGACATGCAAACTGCCACACAAGTATTCCATTAAGGGCTCTCCAAAACTTACAAACTTCAACATATACAAAGACCCGATCCGGCTTCAAAAGTGCAGCCTCAAAAGCAGCATCACTTCCCAAATGCATAAGTCATGCTACGGAGTACACCATTTTCTTACCTTCTTTTTAAAACAGCTACTTTAGTCTTCAGATACTTGCCATGTAAGCTGACATAATATAATTTTCTTTTGGACACACTAAGTGTTAAATTCTGCAGTGGTTACCAAGCGAAAAATAAAATATGAAGAATAAAGCCTGCTCTGTCCTCAGGGAATGACCTTCAATAATATGCCCACTTCTTCAGTAACAGGTTACTCCTAAATTACTTTTAAATGAGAAATGCTTCATGCTCAGTCATGAGCCTGGTTCACATTATGCAGCGCTCTGGATTCCCACCATTTGCTGGAGGACGAGAGCTTGGGGCGCAGCGACGCCGCCCAGCCCGGGCTCCCAGCGGGACAGACGCGGGCGCAAGCCGAGCTCGCCCCACGGCCTCAGCGACACCTAACTCGAGGTGCAGCTGATGGAGACCAGAACACACGTGATCTGGGTTATTAGCCTCAGAGGGAGCTCTGAGAACCCCAAAACATACAGAAGGCTTTTATTAAGGATGGAAGAACAGAGGAAAGCAGAGTACCTGTGGTAAACGCAACCTCATCTTAATACCGTACACTTTTCCACTGGCCTGTCCAGGCTATTTTCCCAGCAGGGGAGATGAGGGAAGCCTTTCCGACCACATTTTGTACTTGCCCTTTGGTTCCCTTCCTCTGTGCCGCACACCCCAGCGCGGCACCAGCACCACAAATCCCTCCCTAGGAAAGGTGCCAGCCCCACCACGCTGACAAGCAACATTCACCCGACGGCAGAACAGGGTCCAGACAGCTGAAAAGCACCAAGGAGCCCTAGGGCACACATCCCTCAACACTATTAGTGGGCAAGAGAGCCTTTAATGCAGATTAACACCTGCTTTTTAATTCAGGATACATTATTTTATCGTGAGCTATTCTGTTTTTACCTACATATGTGATAACTATTAAAAAATACCTTACATTTTATATATTTTTCAAGAAAATGTAGGTGCCAATTATCCTAATTTAGATTTTAAGATGAGCCCTGGATTTTGAAATCCTGCCTGTCTGAAACAGAGTGCACGCTGCAGCACCCCCTGTCATTCTGAAATACACGTACGTGTGTGCACGCCTGTACCAGGAGGGACACGTTACGCTCTGGAAAAACATAAAAACTGGTCATTTTCCTCCCTCGAGACCCAAGCTGTCTTCAACAGGTAACAAATAGCGGTCACAACAGCACTTGCTCCATCAGTTGAATGCACCCACAAAGCTGCAAAAGAGCAGAATGAGAAAATAACCCGAACCTGATACCCGAAAGTAGGTGCAAAAGTGCAATGACTGCCACTAATTTCACTTTTGTTGTTGTTGTTGTTGGCATGAAACAACTTTAAGAGCCAGCTAGTGCTGCACATTTCCTATACAGTAACTCACGACCACTGCCGTAGAGTATCTAGTCTAAGAAACAAATGGAGAAGTGGTATTGAAATTGCATGGCTTTCTATAACTTCATCTCCTTAATTATGATTTTAGGCAAATTTAACCATATGTTTTCTACCATTTTCACTGAAGGACATTGCTACTCTCAAAGCTGCTCTGAATTACTCTTACAACATGAAACATGAAACTGTAACGATTCAACTAATTAGTGACACAGTTGAACTGTAGCTGTAACTAAGCCCAAATTAAATAGCTGCCACTCTTGCTTTTTGATAATATTAAAGACCTGCCGGAGAAAATATATCCTATGTATAAACTGCTATGTATTTACCATTATCTCTATCCCCTTTTTTTTTTTTTTCTTTAAACCTGAAAGACTGGTGTTCCAGAGAGCTGCCAATTTTATTTTAATTAGAATTTCAACACAACTGTAGATTACACATAATTTCAAATGAAAACAGCCTTTGTTTAGTGAAGAACATAAATCCTCTCTTCGCTATATTTACTTCAGTTTACTTGCCTGTAAAAATCAAGGGGTTTTGGTTGGCTGTTTTTTTTTTTTTTTTTGGAAGCAAAATAACACCCAACACAATTTTCCAATCTATCTGGTTTCCATTTACTGACGCGTGCTTACATTTTAGTTACCTTGACTTCTTTATACTTATTTTCAAATTAGAGTCAGCAAGGATAGAAATTGCTAAGAAAGAGAAGACGCATTTGAGAGCGGGGACTTCAGCAACGTCGAACAGAGAGAAAAACCGAGAAGGAAGCAGAGCTGACTGCATGCTGCTGGGCACGGCACTGCTGAGCGCGGCAATGTGACGGGCTGGCTGCCCACACGGGCACCCTCCATGGGGATATAACGTCCCAAGAGCTGCAGCCCTCGCTCCTCGGGACATTACGGCTGCCGGCGGAGGCACCAAAGGGGTGAGCGCTGGGGGCTGCAGAACTGCCATGTGGCTCCCGGTGCCTCACGTTGTTCGTGCCACCCTGCACGAGAGGGAGGCTAGGACCAAACTTGATGCTCCCCGCTGAAAACTGGCAAAGAAGAGGAGAACTGACGAGAGGGCTGCAGCAAAGGCAAGCGGCGCCGTGCCGAGTGCACCAGGAGGGAGCAGCGGGTAGCAAAACCGCCACGCGAGGCTGCCTGCACCCCAGGGCATTTGGTCTCCTACTTCATGGGAGCAAACGGGAGATTCTCCAAACGCTACAACAGGCTTGGGCAGAGAGTTTCACGTTTCATGTATTAGGCTAAAGAAAACCTTGGGATAGATTAGAGGCTAATTCTGGCCATACTACTTTTGTCCCGAAATCCATCCAAGAGTAAAGTAGCAGTTCCAGGAGCTGGTAACTGAATTGGTTCATAAGCATGAACGCAAAGGAGGAAAATTAATTCAAAGTATTCAGTGCCTTGTTTGACACAGAGGACAAAATATTCTTAACCATTTTAACATAAAGCAGAATTTCATTGATTTATAGTGATTGGGAAATACTGATTGCATACCTGGGGAAAAAGAAAGAACAATTAACAACTAGCCAAGCACATAAGCATACTGTATTACAGAAATATTTATTATTTACTTACTTTAGATTATAATTTTGCACCATACTTGAAAAGCCATGTGCAGTATTTTGTAAATCTAACAATAAGCTTGGCAATGTGAGAATTCACTAAAGCCCCTCTCCAGTTCTGGCACTAAAGCTCTAGTATTTTTATTTTTATGCACAGGTAAGAGCACATATATAAAAAGTTCTACTGTATAGAATAGCTCATACAGAAAAAAAAAAAGAATCACTCACCACATTGTAATAGCTTTTGCTAATTGCAGATGTATCAAAGCCTTTAGGAGGACTCTTCAAAGTACCTGATTTGGGGGAGACCGGTTTTTCTGAAATGTAAGATATTTTCATGTCAATTGGATGCAATTTCACAGCTCAACACTAGAGGTCAAACAAACTGCTTTAAAATTTTTGTAACGAGATACAATGAAATTATGTTTCATCATTGAGAAACTGTGCTTGGAAGTACTGGTAAAGAATGAAAATGGTTCATTTGTGCGTAATAAGTGAAATACTAGCCTCGGTGAAGGAAACAGAAGAATTCCCATTAGTTTTACTGGAACCAGAAAGTCAGCCAATAAAATCAGCTTTACCAAAATCATTCTTGAGGAACAAAAAACCTTATCACAGACTGCAATTAAAATTAAAGCATTTCCAAACATTACACACACTTTTAAACAAAAGTAGAAAATAACTTCTGCTATAAATTTAGTGAAGTCAGTAAAAGCAACTACCCAAGGGTGGAAGTACCTGAGGTGGGACATGATGCCTAGTCTTGTTGAAGCAGAGAATCAAAAAACTATGCAGGTAATAAAATGACTTATCAGATGCTACCTTAGGGGAAAAAAAATCCTTAAAAATAAATTACTCTTTATTACTAAGGAAATCAAAAGTATTTACACAGTTGAGAACCACACAAGTACAATGCCCATCAAAACAATAAATGTAAATATTAGAAAGTATAATGCCATAGTGTATGTGTCCTTCAATATCCACAGTATTCCTTAAAGGACAGAATTTGCCTGCAAGATCCAACAGGCCTCAGAGGCTGCAGCACTGAACCACTCCAGGAGCTATTCTGATACCAGGCTATAGAGGCACCAAAAACAAGTCCCCAGACCCTCTCCTGCCTCTACCACCTCCCTAATTCAACCATGGAGGGCGAAGGGGCAACCAGAAGCATCAAATCACATGCTGGAGAAACACAAGGCAAAACTCCCTTGCGGCAAACCCCAGCAGTACCCCCTTCTGACCTCATATGCTTGGCAACTCACACAGTGATACTCTAGTACCAGGACATTACATTAAAAAAAGACACACACACCCCACCAGCATCCATACACACACGCACCCCACCAGGCTTGTCTAATATGCCAAGCAATAAAACAGTAAGTTGCTCAAAACAATGGAACAGCAGCATCAAAAATATATCTACTGAGAGCCTTATTTCTTATTTTAAAAGCAAACACCTCTGTTTTCATTAAATTTTAATCAATGTTTATGAATAATTGAGCTCTAGTTTACCTGACACAAGGTAAACTTAGAACACATTAAGAATAAGTGCCCCAAGGCCCAGCTGGAACAGGGCCTTTCTGCGGGAAGCCCAAAGGTGGGAAACCCCCGGGGGAATGTGGATGACCAGGGACCCAATGTGTTTCTGACCTCGGCTGCACCAGAGAACATAAAGCAAATTTGGGGCACTCCTGAGGCCGCTTTATTTGCTGCCCAGCACAGTGGCACCCTGCAGGCTCCCTCCACTGCTGGGGGTGCAGGACAGGCTGGTGGGACAGGAAGGTTTAGCCCGAAGCACTTTAGGAAGAGCTCAGGGCTCAGAAGCACTCAGGGGCTATTTTTACTTTAAGGGGATTTTCCCTGTATTGCTCTGGAGCTCTCCTCAAAGCAGCTCATCTAAAAATAAAACATGGGCTTAAAACTGCCAAACATGGGCAAAAGCATTTCTCCTCACCGAGCGCGGAGAAGACAGTTAAATCATTTTGCTTAAGGTTTTTTCTTCCCGACACGCAGCCCAGAAACCACGAGCTCGAGCCGCGGTGCCCCCGTGACGCCGGCATCGCCCCGGCGGGACTCGCTCCCTTGTAACCGCACTGGGGGCAGCGGCGACGCCACGCGCAGGCCGAGCTGAGGAAACACCTGAGCCCCCGTGGCTGCAGCGCTGCCCATTAACGGGACCACTGCGACTCTACTGGTTGGACTGCAGGGTGGAAACGGCGCAAAGTTTAAAGGAACTTGGTATTTTGCTTTCCCGCTCTGTGGGAGCTCTTGACTTACCCCTACACTTGGCAGCAACTTTCAACTTTCATAGGACACGTAAAGGAGTATTAATCACGTGCCAAAGACATGGGAGGAGAAACCAAACAAACTGGGCTGGTACATTCTTGTTCTTGAATTCTGTGTAATGTCTGACCCTTGTTAACCTGGAGAAAGCCAGCTGCTCAAAGACCAGTTCTTCTTACAGTTATTCTATCATTTTCAGACTATCACACCATAAAAATGCAGCTCTTCCCCTATCTTTATTTTTCTTAAGCTGCTGAAGATACTGGATTTTTGTTGGAATATGTAGAGAATCATTTGTATTACTGTGAGTTTAGGTGAATCAGTTATCCATCGTACACACAGGAGCAAATTCAGATTTAAAACAGCATACACGCTCAAAATTTATCCATTAGAATAGCTTTACCTATACAACCATAATCAACATTCAGCCTTTAAAACACAAAAGCCATTCCTGTCGTAGAAAAACGCAGAGTTAGACACAGCACATCAGACCAGCTGTCCATCATGTCTGGTATTCTGCCTCCAAGCACTGCTTTGCTTCGTAGAAAGTCAAAAGAAACAGTCTCGTTGCAATTTACTTATTACACAGTGTATTACATGGAAGGAAATCCTCATCTGGCACGTAATAAATCACTGTCTTAGCATAAACATAAGTATTACTTATTTATCATCCACCATGACTGGAGAACTTTTACAAACTTACTGTATAATTCATTAAACATTTCAAAGAGAGGCTTATCTAGTGCACTGGGAAAATACAAATGTCAAAAGCCAGGAAGCTCACAGGCTTCATAAACACTAAGCACAACCCTAGAATCCTGAGCCTTCCAACACCAGCACAGTTCTCCAGAGCATGGAAAGCTGCAGCACGGCTAGAGAGCAGCCCGAGCTGGGTACCACGTTTTCCCATACCCAAGTTTCTTCCCTTCTTCCTGCTCTTCTCCCAATTCTAAAGGAGAATCTCCTTCATTTGCACCGAATACACAATGCAAACATGCATGGCATTTGATCATATCCAAAGCAAACAAGCATCTGTTCCAAACGCAGATAAACACTTCATCCAGCAGATGACTGACACAGAAAGGGCAGTTCCTATTTCCAGTGACTATTTCCAGGCAAAGGACTATGCTCAATTGCACTGATACTTTGAAGTTTTTACACTGCTAATAACTAATGAGGTAGAATTCAATTAACAAACCACCTTTGGACCCAGAGAGGCTAGCGCAGGTCTCCTAAATTATTCTTTCCAGCATACTACCTATTCAGTACAACCCCTGTGTAAAGGGCAACAATTCTGAGCAGAGCAGCTGCTTCTGTAACCTTTCCCTAAGTGGCATACAAGAGCCCACCAACTATCTATAATAAAATTAACAAAAAGTTACCTCATCACTTACGAACCTCTAACTTTCCAAGAGACTGTAAAAGGACAACTTACCCAGTTCTTCCCAGTGTTCTGTTTTACTTTATTTTCATTAATACAGAAGTATGTTTAGTTGTGTTCAAATTAGTTGCCATTCTCACATGCTCTCCTACCTCTCTTTCATTTCTTTTAAGCTTATGTTATTGTCTACCCCACACTACTCTGCAGAGAGCCCTATCAGAACCACCATGATATCTTCCTGCCATTACCAGTCTACCTTGCACCATGCAGTTGGAATAGGAGACACTCTTTTCCCCTCTGCTATGCACTGCCTTCTTCCATAATATGGACAACTTACCCAGTTCTTCCCAGTGTCCAGGATCCCATACGATCAGAAGCCCTATGAACAATTCAGGCTTTACTGGGCCTCATACTAACAGAACTATCCAGGCTGCCTAGCAGAGTTGAGGTGAGACAGCAGTAACACATTGATTTATGAGGAGGATTGAAAAAAAGCCTTGTGATGATTTATTAAGTGCCACTTGCAAAGATTTACTGCTTTCTGCATAGTCACATAGTGGGTTATGGTTCAGAACAACTTAACTAGCAAGTGACCTGTGATTTTTTTATATATATATCTAAATATGATTAACAAACAACAACAGTTTGGCAGGTGCCTCTCATGCTTGCCAAGTGCTATTCCTTCCAGCACAAGGTAATTCTCAAAGCTAAGTCTCTAAATCTCTTTACCACGCAAGATCAAACCAGCAGCATAAGACTCTATCTCCACGTTCACACACTTTCACATTCCAAGCTCCTTTTTATAAAAGGAAAAAAAGCCAATAGGCCACGCTGTCAAATATCTAATAAACTTAAACTGTATAAATCTTCTACCCTGTCACACGCAACAGGGCAGCATGATGGAAATAAAACAAAAAAAAAAATCTAATTTCAAAGTACTTCCTGACTAGCGATCAAAGAACATTAAAGGAGGCAAGATGTTACAGCATTCAAAGAAGGAATTGAAAACATGCAGGCAGGAGAGAGAAAGAGACCATCTTGTTCATTCATTCAGGTACGTACTTATGCTACAAAGAAACTACGTAAACTCTTTTATTTTTAAATTTAATCACGAGTACCTAATTTCAAATAGATCCCTTTTGTCCCCTTCCAAAAACAACCCAAAAGCAAAATAAAAATCACTCCTCATCTCAACTGAAACCTAATTTCAAATAGATCCCTTTTGTCTTTCAAAAAAACCCAAAAGCAAAATAAAAATCACTCGTCACCTCAACTGATAAAAATTGCTTTCTAAAAATTTACAGAAGTCCATCTTAAGAACAAGAAAATTAAATGCAGCATTTTGCTCAATAATCTCATTTCAGCTTTCCTATAATCTCCTATAATCATTCATAATATATGCCACACATAAGCTGCTATTCTGTGCTAACACTAATCTGTCTGTTCTAGCTAAACAAGCAAGCCACAATAGAGTAATGAAGTGCAGGGCTATGCAGTGTTCTAGTTACTCTGCTAAATGTGCACTCCCTGCTTATGCAATAAATGTAATGCAGCTCATTTTCCTTGTATAATCCGTAAGAAGGTGGTGTGGGTAAGAGCAGGTCCCCTTATAAAGCAGCACATCAAATCTGGGCATATGTTTCCTTCGGAACAATTTCTTCATATTGCCAGTAACCTGAATTACCCATCAGGAGAAACAGCTACTGCATCTTAATGTCAGATTAGGTGTATTTTTCAGATTCTCTTCCTAACTTTATTTCTCTCCTTGGCTTTCTGTCTGCTACAGGGCAACTGCACAAACTGAGACTACAAACACACCATTATCCAATATTAAGGGTATATTTTAATATTGTAGTTTAGAACAAAGATCTATTTATCTCAACATCTAACAACTATGAATTTTGTGAGAATTAAAGCAGAACACACATGCATAACAAACAACTTTCCTTTCTTCTGTTGTCCAATTTCTCCAAGTCAGGTTACAGCAGATTGAAGAGATTTCTTTAATGAAACCCAGGAGTTCCCAGAGGCCATTGAAATAACATATCATCAGAAATGGTAACACAGAGTGTTCCCTGCCCCGAATTCCTAACTAGAAGCAGTCACGGCACTTTCAGCTGCATCTGAGGCTGAAGCAGAGCAAAGGATAGATGCTCTCTGTAAGACACCAGTTACACTAAGGTACACTAACCCATTTTGTCTACTGGCGGGGTGGGGACCAAAACGCTTCCGTGTTTTCATTGCTTGGACAGAGCACAGCTATGAATACACTGAAAACATTTCTGAACTAGAAAAATCTTAAACAAGAGGGTCGTACCTGCCAGCAAGTCAAGAGAAGCCATGAGCAGAGGGTTACTTCTCAGAACAAAACAAACAAAAAAATCAACCAGTCTCCCAAAAGGAGCAAGGGGACAGTAGTCCAGCACAGACTGTCAACTCATAAGGGCTACCTGGACAAAACTTCATATGAAGAACAAGCACCAGAGCCCTCCTAACTTCAGGGCTTCTCGGTAGGAGGCCACGTCCCAGCCCTTTGGCAGCAGGCACAGGGCGCAGCACAAGCCCAGGGCAGAGCGGCAGGGCGCCCAGGCGGGAGAGCCCTGGGAAAGGCCTCCGGCATCGCCAGCAACAACCGCCCAGCACGGAGAGCAGCTGGGAGCAGAAACGCTCAGAACCACTTCCATGCAAACAACCCAGAGAGAAAGATGGAACTCAAGAAGTTAGTCTCAAGTAAAGGAGGAGGAAGAGCAGCAAAATGAGAACACTGAACTTCAAGAAATCTTCTCTCTTCAGTAAGAAAAAAACTTCACTAAAATTAAGATATTGATAGAAAATACCCCACAAGGGGCAATCTATGAGGAAAAAAAGTTCCAAAGAATGGTAATTCTTCCAAAAAAAATTAGGGTCATGACAAACCAAGAATACAGAATGCAAATGTAAATTAATGTGGTCAAAAAAAATAAAGTCACACATACTTCAGTGATCTCAAACAAAATGAAGCTGAAGTTATTTAAAAAGGTCAGGTCATTAGATGAAATACAACTAGCAAGGACATAATAGTAGTAGTAACAAAAAATCCATAATATACCTAAATTGGAGGTAAAGCTAATCCCTTATTTCATAAGGAAGAAAAGCTATTAAGAGATGATACCAATGAATTCATAGTATGCATTGCTTTCATCACACCCCCTATCTCCATCTAGGTAGAGTTGGACAAGTTTAAAAACGGGATTTATTCCCCCAAACTTGTAGTAACAACCAAGTATCTACGTGGCTGCATGTCTGGCTGGAGCTGTGACAAAGCAACCAGCGGCAAAGCCCTGCAGAGCTTCCTCGGGGAGTTAGAAGAACAAAGTGTTTTTCCCCCAAACTCAAAAAGTAAGCAATATAAATAAATAAATAAAAATCAATAAATTAATAAAAATCAAAAACAAAGAAAAAAAAAGCGGGAAGAGACAAGAAACAGGTGATGTCACCCTTGTCAAGGTTCTGGCAGAGTAAAAAGCAACACCAGTTCCAATATTTAGTCATGGAAATGACATTATGATGAGGATAACACTTCCATTATATGATTTCTGGAATAATATTGGTATAAGACTAAAATTTATACCAAAAGAAAAAAAGTGGAGGAAGTGTAAGTAATAAAGAAAAAGAAACATTATCTTCCGTAACTCACATTTTCTTCCAGAAAGTGTTTCTTATCTAATTTAATGTATATTTTAGGAGGGTTGGGAATTTTTCCTCTGGAAGCTATTTACTTTTGTTTACTTCCAAGTAAGCGGACATGCTTAGAAATTTGCAGTCAATCCTTCACTGTTTAAACCCAAACACCAAATAAAAAAGGCGTCAGCCTCAGCAATTAAATATAATTTTTAAGGAAGTAAACAACTATCCACTTCTGTCAAAGAAAAGGGTTGTACAAACATGCTCTACTTCAAAACTCACCATTTGATTTTATTTCTCGTACGTAGTTACTTGGAAACCACCCTGTTTTGCCATTTAGAGTTCCTTCCCACCAGCCTCCTTCTTCCACTCTTGTAACATGAATAATATCTCCTTTTGAAAAAGAAAGCTCATCTTCATTTGTCTGTTGAAAATTAAATTTTGCTCTCACCACCAACTGATGGTTGCTGTTATCTGTCATGTCCTAGTAAGCAGGAACACAAATAACAAAAGCATAACTTTAGAGATTTAAACAAAATTCCATGATCAAAACAAAAGCATCCATAAAAATGGAAAATGTCTTTCCCCCTCCAACAAACATTCCCCATGTATGTTTTATTCTAAGCATTTTCAAGGCCCAATTTACCAATTCCAATATTTCTGTCATTTGCATCTATGGGTTTATATCAGTGCAGCAAGTATACTACCTTATTATGGCCCCTTCAAATCAGAAGAGAGCAGCAGAGCTAAAATTAGAATAATTCTTATTCTCCAAAAATCAAATACTATTTTCTATATATAGTATAAACTGAAACTGCCTTTGGCAACTACAAAGAAACAACAGCTTTATATTACAGAGATTTTCTAAGACATTCTGGATGGAGAAAAAAGAGTTAGGTTTAAGTCAAAAACTGTAATGTTAGATACAAATAATGAGTAATAAAAAGTTTGCAGCTTAAATGGTCAGGTCATGTTGGAAGATTCCACATTGGCATGTGCAAGTCAAAAGGGACCACCAATGGAAAAGGCCCACAGTCTTTTATGAAACCTAAGAAACCGGTAGTAATGTAATTTATTTTGAACAAGCACTTGCAGATCACTTGTTACAAGGTTAGTAAAGGTGCACATCTGCAGCATGTCAGACATACGTATGCTCATCCCCATCACAGACGTGAAGACAAACTATCGTAACAACAGAACACTGGCAGCTACTTTTCATGTCTTTCAAAATAATCATAATCAAATTTGGTGCTTTATTTTTGGACATCATTTCTGAACATTTGTGTCAGTCAAATATGTTAAAAGAGTTATGACATATACTAATGCTGAGAAAAAAAAAAAAAAAGAATTTGGATAGCTTTAAATAGAATCAGAGAATCATAAAAATAACCCCAAAACAGCCACTTGCAGTAGGACTGAGAAAACACCATTATTAAAATTGTGTCCATCTGTTTTCAAATATGTCCGTGTCTACCACAAATAAGGATCAATATCTGTATAACTAAGAGGTGACTCAGTGAGAAAATTACTTGGTAAGTGAACCCAGCCAGTTACTCACGTAGCAGAATTCCACTTGCACACTTGCTGTACATGTACCCTGCAAGGCCACTGGGCCCATGTAACAAGTTGGCTTAACTTACACACATCACAATTACAAAATTATTGCATCTTCTAATTAATTATAGCTGGGCAGCTGTAAAGAAACGCAGACAAAACGCAACTTCCACACTGTGCAGAACGCTGCAAGACAAACTGCTTAGCAGTTAAGTGCAAACACTATCACAGCAGTTTCAAACAGGTGTCTTGGCTGCTATGTGATGCGTGTGCTGACTGCTCAACAGGAGAGTATGTTTGCATTAATGAACAGTAAAAAGTCATGAAACATGCAACAATATTGCACGGTGATGCCAACTGCAGCCCGTTTACTCTGCCAGGGTGGCTGTTCAGCTCAAGAAACCAAGTGACAAAGTTGTTGAGAACGGCTGCAAACTGAATGTCTTCAGCAGGCCAGCCAACCTAAGAGCTTCCACTTGCTCTTCCCCTCGTATCCTGCAATCCCCTGCCCCTTAATACTGCCAGTGCTGCACAGATCACTGAGATCCCACAAGTCCTGAAAACTCAGATCCTTTCAGCCATCCCACCACCAGCAAAGGCGAGTGGGTGGCGAGCAGTGAGCAGGAGCTGCAGTGAGCAGCCTGGAGCAAGAGCTCGCGCTGGCGCTGCTACCCGAGGAAGCACAGCAAGGCACTCCTAAGGAAGCTCAAAGTTGCACTGGAGTGCCACACACGCACCAGCCACCACTGCTCCAAACAGTCTTCCTCGCGCAGGCAATAGGAGTTTACACTAGGGACCTGAACTGTCCTTTCAAACCTCTCAGCTGAGGGAATGACTTCTCAAGACAGCCCGTTTCCATGCAGTATCCCCCTTCATCCCACCTGCACTGCCTAACACCAGCCCACCCAGCTCAGTTACCTGAAGGCTCTCTGAAGAAGGCTTCGATCTCAAAGAGAAACAGGAATAACTGCTAACACTGCAAACGTTACAAGCACCACCTTGTTTGAATAACCTTCCCTCATCATCACGTACACTCGCAGGCAGCACGGCCCGTGGAGAAAATACAGTTTTCCCTTTTAAAAAAGCAACTCCCTCATAAGAACTAAAAAGAACAGCACAGAGACAACACATGTGCTTATGAGATGAAGTGGTAACTAACAAGAAAAATAATCAGATGTTCATAAAGCTGCACATATTTTGGAAAAACATTAAAAAAATTGCAAAACTAGAACTTCACAGGCTTGAACTACAGAGATGAGAGACACACAGGGTGAACAGGGGTAAATGGTTACTCTGCTACACTATTGTTTACTTACAGATCTAGTTGAAAGAAAAAAAAAAGTACATATCATTCCTCAGAACTTACCAAACTCCGATATTGTCCCTGAAAGAGTTTTGAAGTTCTACTGTGCAAAGACTGGGATCCAAGGGAATCAAAAGACTTTATCCGATGAGATGAGGGCCGTGCACATACAGAGTCACTTCCCAGTCCTATGTCTGGAGGGGAAAATAAATAAAGTCAAACATCCATTCAAGAAATCCACATATAAATTTCTACATACATCTGTAGAACTCATGTACTTGAAGCAGATTCAAGGCACCAGTCGTTGCTCCATAATCCAACATAGAAAAGATAAATAGCAATGGAACGATTTGAGCTCCTCAGACACTGGCAGTTTCTTCACCATGCAGACAAGAAAATTATCTGAGCATTTTAAGAAAAACAGGGCGAGGATAGTATTTCTCTATTCCTACCCACTACCAGTCTATTTAAAGGTAATTAACCAGCATCATTTCAACTAGTTGCCAAGAAATTCAAATGCATAAAACTTGCTTGAAGCCAAGCCAGCCACATCTGTTTCTTAATTCCTCCCCCCTCCATCTCCTTCGCAATTAAAACATTCTTTCCACTGTCTCTTTTTTCCTACATTCCTCTGGCTCATCCTTTCTTTTTTGCCAACTAAGCTATTTTTCCTTTTTTGGGGGGAAGGGAAAGGAGTGAGGAAGGGATAAAGAAGAAAAGAAAGCCGTCTGCTTGAGAACACAGACCTCCCTCGAGCTTCTCCCCTCTTGCATTTCTCTCTTCCAAAGCCCCCATTCCTGCGGGATGTCCATCCAGGCTGTCTAGGCAGGGGCCCCAGCACTGGCCGCTGGCACAGGGGTTCCCTGCATGCTGGGGCCAGGATGAGACCCCAAGCTCTGGCAGCTGGACCCCTGGAAATGGGAATGCTCCAGGGCCCTGCAGAAGTGACTGGTCACAGTGCACAAACACTGCTCCTTTTCTGCCCAAGAGCAAACCGAGTCATTCCCGCTCCCTCTGCTTTCCACGTGCAAGGGAATCCCTTTGCAAGCACGTGAGCTCCTGAAGCAAGGTAATGCTTTCTGTCCCAAGCTTGAACCTTTTTGCCAGACTGTGCAAGTCTCCCAACTGTCCTCCTGCTTCTTGTGTCTCTGCATATCCTCCTTCCCAGCAGTTTGTTATGCCTCCAAAACTTGACCTATATGAGCAGTTCACAGACACAACTACATTTTCCTACTTAGTTGCTCTCAGGCTAAAGCAGCAATGATTACACAAGCCTCATTATTTTTGATCAAAGGGAAACTACACACACAGATTTAATTCCACAAAGAGACTGATGGACAAAATATATCTGCTGTTTCATGCCAAATAAAATCTGAAGAGAGAACTCAATTTGTTTCAACTAGAAAATATTCCAGCTCCAGCACAGTCTCGAATGGCCACTGAGCTGCGGCAGGAGAGCAGCATTCGAGAGGGACAGGCAGCCTTCTCCGAGCAGTGCTGGTAACAGATGCTTTATTCCCCCTCAGCCAGTCCCCACTAGCTTGCCAACGTGCATCTTTTTGATCGAGTCACTGAGATCCTTCAAAAAGTCTTAAAATATACACTCCCCAGCCAACTATTAGAATGACCTGTATTAAGTTACATATTTTGCATGGATGCCACTACACACAGTTACAGAAGAGCTCAGTCCTTTATGAACTTGCTTTCTAAAAAGCATTTAAAAGCTACTCCGTTAATATAAATGTTGCAGATTATAACCCACTGCAGCAAGAATAACAACTGCATCTTTACAGACTGCTGGGAGAAGAATGAAGCACAGGCTTCATTTGTAGATCATAACTTTATTACCGGCCCTAATGCTACCAAAAACCTGAAGCACCCACAGCAAGAGAATCACAGGAAATCAAAAGGACTTGAGAATTAACAGCAACTGGAAACATCTCCATGCTGAGTTTGTTATCAAAAGGAGACGTCTTCTATTTGCAGCTGAGCAGGAGCAGACAGGCCACCAGATCCAGTGATCGAACGCAGTCCACCTAGGGATATGATCAGGTTTACTCATGATGGTGAGTTCCAACTTCCAAAACACTCTACACAAAAATTCTGTCCAAGTCTCTCCTGATTCCTGAAATTCTCTATTTTACAAAGGCAGAGTTAACATGGCCACCCAGGAGCACCCCTCGGAGTTTGAGCTGGAAACTGAGCCTGAACTGAAAGGAAACATCAGCTAAAAGGAAACAAATGCTATCCTAACAAGCTGCAAGTATTTTTACTAATAATATCTGATACTTCCAAATTAATTTTATGCCTTGAAAGCCTTAAAAGGCTTGCAGACTCCCATTTTAAATATAAATAAAATTTCAAATGCAAAACTGAGATGCTTCTTATTAGGAAGAAAAAAAATCATCTCTGCTGTTAAAGAAAGAAAGAAAAAAAACAGTAGAAATCCTGCCCGAGAAGGGAATGTGAATGTTTGATAAATATCAGTATGATAGTTTTCACAGATACATTCTTCCATCCACCCAAAGATTTCCATGGTATATGTCACCCATTCTTCTTCTCCAGTTACCTCCTCAACTTCTACTCTACCAATTCCTCTACCCTTTTCAGTCTACAACCCAGTATGGGCAACTTGTTCCCGTCTCATTTGAAATTAAAGCAGCTGGTAGGAGTATGTAAGGGTACGAGTATATAGGCAGAGCTTTCTGCCAGCGCTGTGCGCTTGCTACTTGTACTCCTTCAGCTGTGGAAAGATCCATCCCGAGAGCCGTTCTTCCTAATGCTAGCTGCAATTGTGGCTTTTTGATGTGGATATTTGTCTATTGATGTCTGGACCAAACACAGCCACACTTTCCCTGCCCTGTGCTCCTCCTCCCCCTCGAGACATCTACAGTCTGTGTACAGTAGCAACATTAAAGATGCAATGAAATGGTCTACATTTACACAGCTAAGATGCTTTCATCTTAGCAACATCCTTAGCTGGTGTAAGCAGCTTTAAAGAAGTCGTCAATGGAATTACTCCATGACAATTCATTAAAAACAAGAATTTGGTTGTAAAACTCCCTCCCTAAGGGACATTTTCTGATACAAAAAATAAAAAAGTCATAAATTCCCTATCATAATGTGCCAGAGTATATAAAAACGACACGATATTTCCAGCAGTACAGTTAAAACAAACAACACTGATTCACCACTGACTTTTCTTTATACCAGCTTCATCGCTCTCCGCACACTGAAGTTTGCAATCACGGTTCATTTCCAAACAATCTCCACTCTCTCCAGCCTCTTACCTGATGAGCAGCACTGGAACGTGCTGCTGATAATGGAAAACCCCAGCACGCAATGGCAAGAAGATGAAAAGGGTCACCAATATTAACATCTCTCGACCGTACTTGAAACAATTTCCATTGCTTAGCACAACCTCTTCCTGCAAAGGAACACTGCCACCTATCACCTGTGAGCTGTTTCTACAGCCCTGTCCCCTAAGAGACATAATGCATCTTGTAGCTGCTACCAAAATGGGTGGTGCATGAGCTTCAACAAGGGGAAGTGCAGGGGCCTGCACCCAGGCAGGAATAACCCCAGGCACCAGCACATGCTAGGGGCCGAGCTGCAGGAGAGCAGCTCTGTAGAGAAGGACCTGGGCATCCAGGTGGACAGGCTGACTGCGAGCCAGAAATGTGCCCTTGTAGCCCAGAAGGTCAATGGGATCCTGGCCCACATCAGGAGGAGCGTTGCCAGCAGGTTGAGGAGGGGATCCTGCCCCTCTACTCAGCTCTGGTGAGGCCGCACCTGGAGTGTTGGGTGCAGTTCTGGGCTCCCCAGTACAAGAGGGACATTGAGCTTCTAGAGAGGGCCCAGCGTAGAGCGATGAGGATGATTAGGGGACTGGAGCATCTATCATGTGAGGAGAGGCTGGACCTGTTTAAGCTGTAGAACCCGTGTATACAGACACCTTAAGGGAAGGTTCAAGGGGACAGGGCCAGACTATTTTCAGTGGTGGCCAGAGACAGGACAAGAGGCAGCGGCCACAAACTGAAGCACAGGAAGTTTTGTCTGAACAAGAGGGAAAACTTGTTGCCTGTGAGTGACAGAGCCCTGGGACAGGCTGCCCAGAGAGGGTGTGGAGGCTCCTTCTCTGGAAATCTACCAAACCCGCCTG